GAATCCAAAACATGGCACTATTCTAGCTACTAAGAAGAAAAATTAACTCTATCCCAGCCAAAACCAGAACAGAAGGACATGGACCTGTTGGAGCAGGTCCAAAGGAGGCCACAAAGATAATCAGGTGGATGGATCACCTTTCCTATGAGGGCAGGCTGAGAGTTGGGGTTGCTCAGCCTGGAGAAGAGAAGGGTCCGGGGAGACCTTATAGCAGCCTCCCAGGGCTTAAAGGGGGGACAGGGAAGGTGGGGAGGGACTCTGGGTCAGGGGTGTGGGGATAAGGATGAGGAGTAACGGTTTTAAACTGAAAGAGAGTAGATTTAGATTAGATATAAGGCAGAAATCCTTCCCTGTGCGGGGGGTGAGGCGCTGGCCCAGGGTGCCCAGAGCAGCTGTGGCTGCCCCCTCCCTGGAAGGGTTCAAGGCCAGGTTGGACGGGGCTGGGAGCCCCCTGGGCTGGGGGAAGGGGGCCCTGCCCGGGGCAGGGGGGTGGGAACTAGATGGTCTTTAAGGTCCCTTCCAACCCCAAACCATTCTGTGATTTTATGATTTTTTTTTTCCTTTAATCACAGAGAAATTAGCACAGATGATAGAGGCAAAGGTATCTCTCAATCTTCTATCAGACTCCTGTCACCAACCAACTTCAGCAGCTGCAGAATGCCCCATGCCCTCAAGGCCAGGTACCTTTAAGTATCAATAGCCAATTCCTAGCAAAGCAGTAAAAAACCCCAAACAAAACACCATAACATTCTGAATCCACAAAGAATTGGACAGGCATGAATTTCTAGATATCAACTAACCAATATCTGTGATGGCTGGTAACTGGGAACAGCCCAATTTTGAGTAATTTTTCCACAATACATTCAGATTCATTTGACAGCCTGAGACACCAGACTTTATACACACTTAAAATATCAAGTCGTTTGGCCTGTCTGGGACTGATAGTTCATAGCAGCAGCAGGTTCTGAAGATATTGCATCCTCTCTGTCTTCATAGAAAAGCAGCAACAGCCTGAGTATGCCAATAGACCATTGATCTGAGGAAATATGCTAAAAGACTACTTTGAATAGCCCAGTGCTTTGTGTTGCATATTTTAATTGAGCACAGACTGCAGCCTGCAAAAAAAGTTGAGAAAACTAACAGCAAAACAAGGAAGCCAAAAATCTGGGAGAGGTGAAACAGAGGGGCTCTGGGACTTCACAGAATTGCTGCTGGAAGTAAAGCAGCACCCAGCAATAAAGGCAAGGGACAGAAGAAATGTTGCATGAACAGGAACTACCGCACCCCTGATTTCTTCAGAACAAACAATGAACCGTGTTCCAGAAAACTCAGATGAATCCCCCAAGCTAATGTAGGTACCAGGTATAAAGCAAATTACCAGATGCAGGAATTGCAGAGGCAATTGTAGAGCATTTAACAGCACAGATATTTTCTAAAAACAATCATCAACAGAACAAAGGACACAAAATTAAAATTACACAAAGCAAAAGAACAAAAAACTATTTTCAAATACTTTTTCTGACTGACATTATAGATGGTGAGTGATGGAAAGCATGACATGAGGGGTGCAATGTGAGCTATATTTGTTTCACATGTGTGAATATTTGCAAAATGAGTATGTAATGTTTTTGTCTTTGCTTAAAAATCCATTGGGCTGAAGACTGACTCCAAGGCATCCTACCCACTGTGATTCTGTAACAAATGATGACAGCAGTTAATGTCTTAGCTGTGCTGGCACTGTCATTACTACTGGCATTAAGTCTCAGAGGTCTTTGTGCATTGCAACAATACTTCCATGGCTTTACAAACTTCACATACAGGTTTTAGACTGCATCACCCGCCAAAATCAGGTTCTGAGTTTCCTCATAGATCTCCTCATATAAGCTCTATGTATTAATGAGCCAGCTGACTCGTAGGTTAAATGGCATCTTTTAAGATTTGGTGTGAGTGGAGAAGCACTGTCAGCCTGCAAAGAGCTGAGTGTCAATATTAAGGATACAATAAGATTCAAAGTGATTTTTGTTTACAGAAAAAAGCTAAACCTGTGTGGCTCATGTTAAAAATGCAAAGCACATTTAGAATGCTGAGTACTTAAAAAAATAAAATGAAAAAGTAGATTATTTTCCCAGGGTGAATTACACAAATTTAGTCTAGAGTAACGCTATATGTCAGAGGCAGTCATGCTTTTGCAGATGAATTTCAGTTCTGTCTTTCCTTTTTCACTGTACCAGGGGTCATTCTCCTTTGAAAACTACTTTTCTCCTATGGATTGCTGCTGCTACCTTGTCACCACCCCCTCCTGCCTCCATCTGCCACTGCCTCCTCATGGGCCATCACTTCTTGCTGGCTCTAACAGTTCCAGCCTGAGGAAAAAAAAAAAAAAAAAAAGCCAAAAAAGCTCTACTTTGCATCTTACCTCTAATATTGCCACACCTCTTCAGACAGGAACAGGCATACATATACATAGGCATAGAGACCCTAAACCAGGGTCTCTAAATATAAGTTGCTGAACGTGATTCATGATTACCATCTCCACACAGATGAAGGATGGTAAAAAAGCAAGATTTCTTTATGGTTCTCCTGCAGCTCCCAGATGCCATGGTGGGGAACAAAAAAGCCTCTGCAATTTTGAATACCCCTCTGTCACGGCTGGCACCCCGCCAGCCTGCGCCAGACACCGGCTGCTGAGCCTGCTGGGGACACCGTGCTGGAGCAGAAAGAAACCGAAAATAAAGAGAGGGCCACCAGGGCTGGAGACAGAGTCAGCAGAGAAACAAATATTCAGGGCAAAGTGGAAAAAGGAGGTAAGGTCTGGAAGTACTGCTTTGCACTTTGCTTTCTCTCACGGCAGGCTCCTCTGCCCTTCCATGCATTTTCCTATAAACTACCTCGCTTTTCACACCTCAAAGAGCTGTTCCTACAGCAGCCTTCCACCTCCTCTTGGGTTGCATTTCCCTGATCAAATTCCCTAGAACTGTTGCTTCCTCTGAATCCCAATTTGCTTCCCAGTCTCTACTCTGAAGCAGCACCATGAAGGAGAAAAGTTCCTTCTGTTCCCGAACATTTTTAATGACTTGAAAACATTATACATGGAGCTATGGAGGGAGAGACAAAAAATCACTAGCAAAACACCAGCTTTCTTGGAACTGTCTTTTCTCAAAATGCAGCAGGATGTTTCCTGAAGGAAACTATCCCTCACACAGTTCACTATAAACGAAATTCACTGGATGGCTGTCCAGACAGCGGTCTCAAAATATGTTCTGGAAACACAGCTATTCCCTGGAAAACACAAGAGAACTTAAATGGTCAGCAAGGGAACAATCCTAATATATTTCCATTACATCTTCTGATACAAACTTCAAATCATTCACACCAAAATTTATTTGCAATTATTTAAAAAGGCATCCAAATTCAGAGCACCGACACAACAGGCTCTCATCCCCTCCTCCAAGCTTTATCCCTGCTTAGAGCCTGTGTCCCGCTGACGCCCACCCACCCCAGGCTCACAGCCTCCTCCCGCGGCAGAGCGCTGCCCTGGAACACTGCGCACTCCTCCAGGCATCAGGATAATCTCGTTTAGGGCACGGACCGCTGTGGCCAGGATCCATACCAGAAAAAGAATTTCTGTAGAAAAGCAGAGGCAGCGCCAAGCATTTTGTCACCCTGAAAAGGCAAGGATATCCTGGTCTGACAGCAGCTGCCCGCAGCCACCTCCTCCCTCCCCTTTTCAGTCGCCATGCCCATAGCAGCAGCGGCAAGAAATGTCCTGCCTGACATTTTTAATCTGAATTAGAGGCAGAGGCACAACCATGCAGCCTGCTCTCTGCTGTCCCAGCTGCCCATCTCCAACGGAGAGTGGGAACACCACAAGTAGGCAGGCTCACTTTCAAGGGGTTTGCTTCTAAGCATCTATGCCCTTGGCCTACTGTCCTTGCTGAGGCAGCAGAAGCTGGGACACACACTTTTTACAGAGGCCCTAGCTCACTTCTGGCACATGATGAATCAAACTGAACAAGCACCAAGACATCAAATTGCAAACTGAGTCAGCTGAGCAGAGGCATCTTTTTGTACTCCAAACAAAACTCTGTACTGGAAGCAGCCCAACAGACAGAGAAAATCAAACTCTTACAAAGCAACATCAGATTCAAAACGTTGCAGGCTAGAAAACGTAGGAATTACAGCTCAACAGCTAAGGTGCAATCATACTTCTCTATTCACATCACAAAATAGATCCAGGAAGGCCATAATTGCATGAGTGCCGAATTTCAACAGAAATATGAGGACACACACACACACTTCACCTTCAAGACTATTTTCTCATTAATACTTAATACTTCAATTCCATTTAAGAACCTCAATATGTGTTTTTAACGGTACCAGATCATTTGATTAGCTATATTAGTCTAAAACAACTTCCTCTGAAAAACTATTCAAAGTAATGCTTTACCTCTTGATTAAATGTTTGGTCAGCAAGGAACTCAATGCATGGCATCACTGAATATGCTGTACTAGCAGCCTAGTTAAAGTAATTACAGGGATTTTTTTATTATTTCAGTTCCAAAAACCTGAAAAAATCCCAAAGTCGGGAATTAAAGTATTGCAAGAAATTGCTGGCTAGGTCTGCTTTTCTCCACCCAATGCAAAATAAGGTGTCTGCTCAGCAACCACATTCTTCTGGCTGTGTGACCCTGGGACCCCACTCCTTCCTGCTCCCCCCAGCCTGCTCACGCTCCACAGCAAGATACGGTTATACCACGAGGTGTTTCCTCTTCCCCAGTTCTGGATGTTATGCTTTGCTCTCTGAGGAGACACCTTCTCATTGGATCCTGGATGAACTAATAGTTTCCTGTTGAAAAGGATACGTTCATTTTTCACTCCCTAGTCTAGGCTGGCAGCGACTGAAAGAGGTAGGTCTTGAAGCCCAACCTCTGGCCCCTCGCTGGGGAAGAGAACACGTCAGTCACAGGCAGAAATCGGGACAAACAAAGGGCTGTTTGTACAGTGTCTCCTGTCAGCCCTCCCTCTTCTCATCCCTGCGAGCTCTCGCTCACTCTGGGTACATCGAAAAAGACACAGCTGCCAAGAAAGTGGAAGGGAGTGAAGCAGAAGAGAAAGGTACGTCTTGCTCCTGAAATTATCCTTGTGCACTTGTTCTGCTGACGCTAGTTAGAGAGTACAGAATTAGAAATATATATGGGAACATGCAGAAGAGAATTTGGGAGAAGTAGATCTATTGTAGGCAAGAGATGCTATTCAAGATACATGCATGGATACGAACCAGCTAAAGATAATTCTTTGACTATCTTGCTCTTCTTCAAAGTGGGATGCTACATATTAACAACTGAAGTCATTAAACATACTATATTGCTTTCCAGTGGTCAATGATTGCAAAATTGGTGAATACGGAGAGAGATATGTTCACAATGAATTGCTGTCTTTAAAAAAACTAAATGGGCTTTAATGAGAACTCAGTTTCTGGAAAGAATCATGGTATTGATGGTAATTACAAAGCAGTAATTCATTGAATTCATCCTCCATGGAATAGCTGCTGTCTTTACAAAGCACCAACTGTTCAAGCAAAATAGATTTGAAAGATTTTTATTTTTTTTTTAATACGGAAAAAACTTTTTCATAGTATTATCAGTTATGCAGCTCTTGTGTAATAGTTTCTTAGGAATGCACTAATAAACCTATTACGCACTAAATATTAAATATTTAGCTCAGCATTTTACATGTGATTCTGAAATGAAAACTTGACAAACAAATAAACAATAAAAGACATTTTATTTTAAATATCTGGTTTTAGCTCTTGAACTCAATGCACATTAAAAAGCAAATATACATTACATTTGCTTCACTTGAAGTGCAACTTGTTAACCCAGCACATGCCACTGGACAGATTGGAAAAGGTCATACACCAGAAGTGTAACCATTACTGTATTCCTGGTTTTCAAGATTAGGCAACTGGAGTTGCAGCCTGCTTAATAACTCTGAAGGGTGTATTTAATAGTTGATAGACCAAACTGTAAATATTTATCTTTTCCCAAACATGCAGGATCTCTAGAGGTGCTGAAATACACATTTTGTGCCATTTCTGAGGTTTCCCTGTTTCTAACACCTGAGCTCCTACTAATACCCCGTGACCTTTAAAGGGCATCACTTCCCATGAAATATTACCCTGTTGTTCTTGGGCAAGGAGGCTGAAACTTTGTTTTTTCTCTTTGGTCTTTTCTGCGTACCTCTGCATCTAGCAGATCCCAAAGACTGTACGGTGCTGAATTGCCTGGCAGGGTGATTAAAGCACTCGCAGCTGAACGAGCAGGGATAGCACTGATTCCTGACTCATCATTCATATTCCCAAACTAACCATTTTCCTTTACACAAAACTCCAAATTATTTCAAAGCTCTTGTATTCCCAGCTGCACTTGGTCTCAAACTTTACTTATACCATGTCAAAGTAACCGAAGTAATTCATTGACAAGAACTTATGCAAATGCTAGGAGCTCATTTTAAATACCTTTAGATGGTGCTGCTCCTGCTAGAATTTAAAATCATATAGTCTTGAGAGACCAACTTGGTCAGGCTTAGCATGATTGGCATTATTATCTTTTCAGAAGGTTTTATAAAATAAATGTAAGAGGGTGATTGCTGGCAGTGAGTCTTTGAGTCACCTTAGTGACGGGATTTGTTCCCCCGATTTGTTTTAGGAGAAAAGACCGTTTCTGTGGTTGCAAAAGCAGATAAGGTCTTTGACATACATTTTGAAATAAATACGCACATACTAGCTCTGTTCTTTACCTAGGCAGCCAGTGACACTCCATCACCTGTGCAACCACAATCAGGAAAAGAAGTTGCAGCAGTTTGTCAGAAAAAAGATGCTGCATCTGAAAGGTCTACCGAGTTTATCAGCATTGATTCTGTGCAGGGAGCTGATGAGACACTTCAGGTCCTTGGCAATCTTTCACCTGCAAATAGGAACCTTTCTCTCATAAGAAAGAAATAACCTTTTGAAGAAAGGTCTTCTGAATAAAAGTTTCCTTCGGTTATGATCTGAAAAAAAAAAAAAATAGAAAAAATATTTAAGCAGCAACAAAATAATTTTTTTTTTTCTGAATAAAAACAATGCTGAGCATTGGTAAGATGCATAACTGACCTGTTTTTGAAGCTGCCTATCTGTAGCTTTATCAGCATATTCACTTTGCCAATACTGATTTTGGCACTCACCCATACAAAGCCTCTTGATGATACACTACAGCAATATCCTGCTATGTTCCAAGGCAAGTAGTGTGTTACCTTAAATTGTAGGTCACGATTTTTGAATCCAGCAATTTGACAGTCTAGAAAATCTGCCTGTTTTCAGGACAGAATGAGTTCTTGCAAACTTTGAGCACACAGGCAGCTGGCAACAGATTCAAATGAGCATTCGAGCTGAACTCCAGGTAAGGAAAGATCACACAAATTATTAGGAATAAAAATAAAAAAAAAAACAAACATACACAAGATCAAGATATCGTGAATGCTTCATCCTCGGGGGAAGAACTGCCAGAATAATCCAATCACAGGAAACAAAGGCATAAACTCCCTTCTTCCTAAATTTCTCTTTCACGGAAATTTTCTTCCATTAAAAACTTAAATAATTAAGCTCAATTATTTGAACAGAGGAATGTTAAATTGTACTCCTTAACATTGGCATTTATCAAGGTATAGTATAAACAAACTTATTCTCTTTAAGCATTAGACTTCTCTGAGCAGAACGCTCATAACTGCAGTGTTTATACTCCTACAAAATAAAACCATTATTGTAATAATACAGATTCTTTACTCAAGTCTCAAAAAACAACATCAGGCAAAGTTAGAACAATGTTTACTTTATTTGAGAAGTAGTTTTGAGGTCTAAAACTAATAAAGACAGTATGTTATTCAATACTGCACTCCAAGGTAATTAAAAAATAGATCCCCAAGGCTCCATTACTAGTAGTTTATAGGAGTCTCCTACTCAAAAGTTCACACTCAAGTTCATGGAAACTAAAAGGAATCATTCAATGAATTTTGCTTCTACAACAGAAGTTAAAAAATACACAAGAGCTTATTTTCACTTCTGTCATGTTCTTTAATGTATTGGCCACTTTTTATTATTTTATTTGGCTACTGGTGTTCAGAAAACAAGTTTGCACAAAATCTTATGGAAAAATAGAATTGAAGAGCATCAAGATGTAGTATTTTATCCTCAATATGAATCCAAATTCAGAAATTTTTTTATAGTCTCTGGCATGTCATTCACTGGCTGAAGAAATGAAAGATCAGCAAGATAGCTATGGTGGTTATATACCTACCCAGGAAAAATTACTTGAAGATACAGTAAATTTATACACTTACCAGCTTATTATTTGTTTTTCAGCAGTGACCTCGTTTTACAAAGTAACCCAAGTGGGACTCTTCTACAGCTGGCATACATTTTTTTTTTTTTTTTTTTTTAAATCTAGATAACAGCTCTGCCATCTTTCTTGGCCTTTGATAGTTTTTCATCAGATATTGCCTTATGACTGGTTACTTTCAGTTTATTCTAGAGCACTGTATGCTGCAGCCCTGCAAGAAAGACTAGAGCTAGCCATAACATCGTAGTGTCAGGGATCGACTTCAAAGTACCAACGGGATGAAGGACAGCAAAGTCTTCCTTGAGGCTAACACATGTACAGTGAGGAACACGCAGGGAGAGCTCGCCATTCCTTTAGGTTAGTTTTCAGAGCAGAAATCCTATTTAAATTCAGTCAGATATCAGACCCCATTCATTCAAGCTTGAGGAAAGGTAAAAAGCCCCCTCTCCTAATATCAATAAAGTCTAGGTTGAAGCATTGTGCAAAATGAACGTTAAAAGTGAATGCAAGTTCAAGGGTCTTATCCAAAGCTTTGTGGCGCGGTTGCAGAATAGCACAACTAGCGTTAAACAAGCTCATGCAGATGATGGAAAGCCTACTCACCAACAGGAGTTTTGCAAGGGATAATTTATCCTGTCTTTTAAAAAGCCAGTTAAAACACAATGATCTCCTGCCACAAGACTCAACTAAGCAGTTTTCAGTACCAAACAAAAAAAAAAAGGTAACAAAAGAGAAAATTCTAAGTAATGCTGTATGATACCGGAGCCCGAAGTCCGGGACAGCGGCGCTCGGCAGCACTGCAGAGCTTCAGCCCTTTTTGTTCTTTAACATTTCAGTTTCTTGAGCAGTCCGTGACAGAGGATTCAGTCAGCAGACAGTTCTTCCACAACTATGATGGGGAAAGATACTATTAATTTTATGTGAGTGACTCTTGTTTTGACAGGCAAAATGGCCAGGAAGGCAAGGAAACACACCTGGACGTTTCCCCCTGGTTTGGTAGCAATCGACACTTTCAGTTACACCACCCAGAGAACACAGCCAGCTCAAAGCAATTTTCTCAAGGTGAGAGGCCAAAGAAACAACAAAATTGCCAGCAACAGAAGCCTCAATTCCCAATGAAAGGAATCCCAAGGCTGTACAGAAAGTAATGAATATCAGTTCTGCTGCAATATTATTTACCTCCTAGGAGAAAACACTCTCCAACACTCTGGCTCAAACCTCCAAAAGTTCACGGGGAAAAAAAAACCAAAAACCACGCAAGCCAGGAAGCAAACTGGAGAGAGAGAGAGACCTGTTCAGCAGCTATACCTGTGTCACGTACCTCGTTTCTCTTTAGCACCCCGCTGCAGGAAGCTTCGCAGAAATGAAGATGGTCTCGGCGCTGCTTCTGCTGAGCACCCTCCTGGGTACCCCCGCGGCGCCTTCCCCGCGGCCCTCTTGCTACAAGAGGGCCCTCAAAGACCAGACCTGTCACAACGGCCCCGAGGGCGGGGCGAACCTTCGACAAATCCTTGATGGTCTGCAAGATCACTTTTGGGAAGGGAAGGGCTGCGAGGTCATCTGTTACTGCAACTTGAATGAGTTGCTCTGCTGCCCAAAGTAAGACCATGCCCATTTCACGTTCTGTATGACCATCCATTATATTTCCATTGTTTTACAGTTTCCACTGGAATAAGCTACAATTTTCAAGAAATGCATCACTTCAGATGGTTTGAAACTATATCAAGATATAGCCAATTGCCTGATATGCTGCTAGTTTTCAGGCTTTGATTTTCAGGGGCTCACCTAGGACATGCTTTGCATATTTTGGAAACCTGCATGTCCTATTATAGGAGACTTTAGCATTTAAAATTACCCAAGTTTTGACTCCTCTGTTTGATCTAAACTAAGTATGAGAACAACGTGAAACTCTCAATCACAGCCCTTGGCACTAAAGGTGTGTTCAGGACCATAAAAAAACCCCATTTTATTTCTGTTCCACAGTAAAGAACTGTATTGCTATTCCAAGGCGAATGCAGATACATCAGTTGAATAAACGATTCTGTAAAGTCAGCTGCTAAAAGTAAGAGAGCAAACAGGGGGAAAGAGAGGTGCACAAATGCCTGCAAGGATGGGAAACGATTTAGCCCAAGAAGGTCCACACTTCTCTGACTCTCTGGCACTGCTTGCAAAGCTGAATGGTGAAGCTCTCACTGAACATGGGGTTTTTTGTTGTTCTTTTGCAGAAAGAATGTACATCCCAACAGAATTAATGCTGTGTTAATAAACACCACCAGCCCATACTCGTTTAAAGTAATAAAATGTATTAAGAGATATTATTTCATTCAGCTTTCCAGCAACGTCTTTACTTCAAAAAATATAGATTAAAAATATTAACACTTCAAAACTTACTAATACTTCAGGGACACTAAAATGGGATGGCATTATATGGGAAAACAAAAATTACTTTTTATATGCGTTCCTCTTACCACCGAAATTTCTCAAGTCCCCTAAAATCCAGTAAAAGGAAACTTTTCAGCACTCCCATTGGAGATTAGATTTGAGCCAAGTGGGAATGACCTCTAAAGCTAGAAACCTCACATTCAAACTGAGAGCAGGGTTTAAATGAGTTTTCCATATTTCACTCTCTCTAAAACCAGATATGGTGTCCTCAACCTGAATTACACTTTGGGTTTTCAGCTTCAATCTCTGATCTCTGAGGAGCCTCTTACTTTGATACAAATACGTAAGGGGGTCTTCCTTCAACTGCCTTGAGGTACAGAAGACCTACTTTGCAGGTCTGATCTCAGGACAAATTGCACTAAACAGTATGCACACACATGCCAAAGTTCTTTATTTTTTTGCATTATGTATTTGTTAAGTTTATTTTCTCAAAGCTAAAACACCAAGGTGGAGTCCTGGCACTCTGGTCAGTCAATGAAAGTTTTGCCATCAGTTCTAAAACCAGGCCAGCAGAGGTAGAAATGCAGTACCTCCATCCAGACCTGCAGTTGCACTTGCATTGCTGGTAGGGAATCCTACATATATTCCACGATAAGCTAAAAAATCGACAACTGGAAATGCATGTCATGTTAATGTTCTGATAAACTAATGGTCTAATTACTTAAATATTTGATATTATCTTTCAGGGATATTTTCTTTGGACCAAAGATATCTTTTGTGATCCCCTGCAACAGTCAGTGATGTACATCAAGTCTGCCGGAGAAGAAAACAGACATCATTCTACAACCACACAATAATGCTTTCAAGGGGAAATCCAAAACCACTAACATCTAACAACATGACAGTGCCTCTTTTTGCGCTGTAGAAAAATTTCGTTTCTATACCCTATCTGGAATTTCAAATATGTAAGAAGTTCTCAAGTTTGGTAGCTGCCTTAATTTCTATAATGGTGTAAAAGACTGTACAAGCTCTTAATGCATCCTAATACGCATTCCCCAGCAAAAAGCCTAACTCATGTTACTCAACACAACATTCTCAATTAGTTTTGATGAAGAAACTCCAAGCTTAAGCCTTCATGTGGTTAAGAACATGACTCTCATAGCAACCTACTGGAAGTGCAACTTTCTATTGCTTTATTGCCACCACAGAGTTAATGTTGTTTTGAGTTGAAGTTACTCAGTAGCTGGTACTTTTGCAGACAAGCTCCCACATTTTATTTAGTCACCTTAAACAACCGTGCACATACAAAAGGTAAACTTTCACCTTTCATACCTGAAAATTCCAGTGGAAAAAAAAGAGTCAAACTCACATTAATAGCACATTTAGGTCTTAATTATGTCTCACTGGTCCCCTGAATTAACTATGCAGTCTGTAAAACCTCAAATGGGTTAAACTTATCATTGAAGTTTTAAAATACTAGAACAGTTACAATAGTGTGTATATGTATTCAGAAAGATGTCTAAAAAGGATGGGACTGATGCAAGGTCTGTTAAGGCAACATAAAAGTCCACACTTAACTAGCTTTTTTAATCTTGTTTGAAATACAGTACCTCAGAATTTAGTTAAAGTGCTGGGTTTTTATTTTTAGGCTAGCCCTGTAGGGAATTAGCTAATGAAGTGAAGACAAAGGTGTCTCAAAATATCAGAAGTAATCATCTTAATGTTTAAGAGGGATCATGATCCAGGCTGTAGATATACAAGTCACATCTCAACACTTGCCAAAACCAGTTACAGTAGAAGAGAAAAACAACCAAAAATTTAGGTCCCTTTAAGTTTAAGGAAAACCACTTGAACAAGTCAGTCTTAAAAATAAAAACTCTTTAGTCACATAGGTGTGTAGTAGTGAAGAAACTATAGTATTTTCTATTCAAAAAGTATACTGTTCATCTAATAACCTTACACAACATTACACCACAAAAACTGCTATTACCACTTTACCAGACTTGCTTCACAGGCAGTAGGAAATACTATGATGACTGTTTTTCTTACTCTGTTAGTAAACGAGGGCTGGATAATGGGGGAGAGGGGTGATTATACATAGCTAATAATAAATGTTTCAAGTAAATCCGTGTGTGCTATTTTTGTCAAGTAATTTTTGGGCTACCGACTGTTAAACAGTTTGTGTCACTGGGCTTTTTAAGCCTGGTTGGTGTAATTATTCCTGAGTCATTTGGGCTTCCTACCAAATCAATTAAGGGTAAAAAAAAAACCCATAAATCTGGCAACCCACAGTCAAAATAGCCAAAGTCAGTGCTCTGTTAAGAAAACATATGGTATCTGCTCTTGTGCAAAGTCCTCCATAAGCGTCTAGCAGTAATAAGGGCACATAACTTCTGTTGGTTGTACCATCTACTTTCTACATGAATCATGTTGCGTATGCCTGGCATTCACAGCTTTCCAAAGCAGCAGCAGCAAAAAAAAAAAAAAAAAAAAAAGGCAGATGCAAATCCAGCTAGTGAAGTTAGTAGGTGGTTTTCAGTTACTTTTCCTCCACCATTCCTGGCTAAGGAAAACCCCTAATCACTGGAGAAAAATCTTGCCACTTTCCACATGCGGCAGGGTAGGGTCACTTAGGCCACTACTTCAGGATTGATTTCCCACAGAAACTTGCTCTTGTTTCTCTCCCCACTCCCCTTCCCTCCCAAAGCTTCTTCCGCAGGTCCTGCCAGGCCTAGGTGAGAACACTTACCCCATCACACACTTGGAGAAAAAGCCTTTGTCCTTCAGATGTCCTACCCACAGCCAAGTTCCCTGGCTGTTTCTCCAAGTACTCTGAAGATGACAAGCTGAATTTGTGCAAAGGATATTTAGCAAGTAACTTCACAGTCGCTGTAGTGAAATGGGTGCTAAAATATCTCTTCAAAGGAATACCAATATTAGCTGCCACTGGCTAGATACCACTAACTGTCTTGAACTTAAGCCAACACTGCAGAACTTTGTTGTGGAACTATGTAACACGCTACAAGTGAAAGAAATCAGGCCACACAGCTACTGGGAAAGGAGCCAGTTTGAGGTTAGGGTTTATCATGATTCTGTTCTATGCAAGTATCACAGGTCAAAAAAAAAAAAAAAAAAAAAACAACAAAGTGGAACATCTTAGTTGCAGTGATGCCAGCAAAGCGGTAGTTTTCAAAAAAAACCTCACAGGATTAACAGGCAGCTGATTAGACCATATAAATATTGCTTTTCCATTTTTCCCAAATTAAGAAAAAGCTTTTAAACATCTAGTAAGGTTAGGAGTTGCAACAAGTGCTAACCGAAGAAACTAAAGCTGTGTCCTCCTCTGCTTTAAGATGAAAACTCTTTTCCCTCTGCCTTTTCTTCAATTTCTGTGCACAGCTTAAGGCAGAAGGAAATCATATCCCATACACCACACATTTAGAGTGGCACAATAGTTAAACAACACTATAAGAACTTATTCATAATATAGTCTTCAAAATCAGACTTTACTAAGGTATTCAATTAAAAGCAAAAGTATAGCTTGATATTTTTCTTATATATTACTATCAGTCCTGGGTTGGCTTTGTTTTTTTGTTTTGTTCATTTATAGGCTAATGCAGACCATGAAAAAGTAGTATGCCTATTAGAAGATACCATATTGACCCAGCACAGACTTTGCCTTCCATTCTCCAGTTCAGTTCTTCGCAGCAGACTATGTAGATGAATGGAAAAGTCAGCAGCTAAAGGATTTCTAACCAACTGGAAGGATTCCTCAGCACAGTAAGCTGCAGCAGTCTTTTCATCTGTACTTACAGCTTTGAAATTTGAGAGCTGCATTTTTTAAAATTTTAATATAGGAGCAGGAAGGCCCCAGTGCTTAGAAGCACATAACCCAGCAATGAACGAACAAATCAGAGAAGCCCCCATCAATTCTTGTTTACAAAATGACAAAAAAATGCAATTCAGCCATTTCTGTCCAACTAACGACTGGAACTGTCTTTTAAAGCTTTTACCTTAGGAAAAAGAACATATTGCCAAGTCTGCTACAGCTTTTTTTTTTTTTTTCTTAAGGCATTGCATCATGAGAACTTGAAGAATATTCATAAAATATATCCTTGGCACACTTTAATTGAAAAATATTTTAATATTATTACAGTTAGTCAAAGCTTAGCTATTAGGTACAAGTAACTCACTAAATAAGTTACAAACACACCCACTTGAGCAACAATATCAGTGATATTTATTTAAAATACTTTTGCTGAGGAAATCTGTTTCATAAGAGATGGTTTTCAAACAAATCAGCGAGGTTATGAAAAATAAAACAGAGACAAACTCTCTGGGGAAAAAAAGTTACAAAGAAAGCTTTTGCATATCAACAAAAACCCTCAGTCTTTTGATTTGCGGCCTGAGTCTCAGTCCCAACCTTTTCCATCTAATGAACCCCACTATCCATCTTTAGATCTGGTTTGTTCTTGTCATTCTTCACAGAGTAGATGAAATATGTTAAGGTGTCCTTTTCATTCACTGGAATTGTCCTAAAATGGCAGCCAATTATCTATAAAGGAAGAATGTAAGGAAGTTAAATAACCACTCATATGCACAAACTGAAGATTCAGATTTAAATCATTAAAGTTTAAAAGGTTGATCAAGAAGCTTAAAAAAAAAAAAAAAAAAAAAAAAAAGAAAAGCAACCCCTCTTCAAAAGTCTTTAATAGTCTTAAAAAAGGTAAACAGGAACCATTTTATTGAGAACTATGAACTAAATATAGCAGACCATACCCTCATTTCCAAAGTAAAAAGCCCCCAAAGTTTTCAGAAAAACCAAAGGAGTTCTCCAAACAAGCATGGAAGTATCATTACATTTGTGCAGTTAAAGCTTGACTACAAAGCAAGTAATGACTATAGACTATCAACAGAGCAACAGCACAGAAATTAGAGGCTACTGCTCACCACTCAGGTTTGGGGGGTGGCGTGTGTCTGTATCAAGTCACACACAGAAACATTTAAGTCAAAACAAGAATTATAGTTGAACATATAACTCTTCAAAAAAGAGCTATCCATGAAAATTCACCATGCTGTAACCACTAAAATATTACAGTCTCTGAACAGTTCTTGAGTCACTTTTGTCATTCCACAGAAGTCTCTCCCTTCATCAAAATGAACACCAGATTTAAAAGAAGGCAGGTATAGTGCTTGTGACAGAAGTTTTGCCTGTGCACACCACGCAGCGTAAGAATAATCGAGTGCAAATAACTCATGAGATGCACCTAAAGCAGACCCTTGGCAACACCAGTTTTGCAGAGCAAATACTGCTCGTGCTTTTTCAAATCACAGTCCTGGTAATTCAAGAGCTAGCTGTACCTCAACTCACATATAAGAAGATTGATTTTTACATTCCTACTTGTAGTGGCAGCAGCACTATTCTTTTACAGCTCAGCTTTGAGACCTCCCACACATTTAAGAACCTTGCCTTTAATCCACACAGATTAAGGGAGAGACCAACAAAATGTCTGCACCAACGTACAACTGAGTGCATCGCTGCACAGAAGTGGAAAAATGGTAGCTATACCTCCCTGTTAAGAGAGGATCACCAGTTCTCCCACCTATTTACATGCATGTTTGCAGCACAGAACAACTTTAAAATTACACTCACATGCAGCAAAAATGCTTACGTACAGCTGTACTCACACACAGCTTCAACAGTTTTAGAAATACTGGTAAGAAAAAACCTAATTCCATAAAGTTCCATTTTTTCTGATGGTAGATCCCAGTGGTTTTAACTAACAGAATTAACCATCAATAGAAGCCTGTTTTTCAGGTTTCCATACTTTGCATAGACAGAAACACATATGTTTGCAGTAACTAGCTTCTTAAAGCAAAGTCTGAACCTTGCTAGAACTTCACTGACATCTCTCAGGTTCTAGTTCTTTTCAGCAGGACGCGTTGGGTGAAGGTATGACTGATGCACAGACTATAAATCCATGATTCTATGATATTCAGGGTAACTCAGATCATCTTACTGTTCCAGCTCAACACTTTGTGTTCTTAAGCGGCACACACTCCTTTCGGAAATTAAGTCCCTCCTCTGGAAAGAACTTCTACTTTTGATTTACTTGGCTCAGGAGTTGTGGCCAATAAAGGAAGCTAGATAAGCAGTTCCCTTTTGTTCTCCTAAAATCCAGATTACATATGTTCTTTATGCAAGGATCACACTGTATAGAAAACCACATGCCATAGCAAGTTGCATTTTCTATTATTGGACAAACACTCATACGTACTTCAACAAGCTGTGCTTTGTTAAGTCCCGGTCTGGTCTGTAGCTTGAAGTGTCTTTTGTACCTTCGAAGTGTGTTTACTTGTAACTGATATAAATCAACCTAAAAGAAAAGTGGGGGAAAGGGAGGAAAACAATCTAGTGTACCTGAAAAGGATTCAGTCATTAATAGTTTGCCTCTCAAAAACATTTTGGAATCTCACAGATACAGAAGTGTAAACAGTCAGCTCGGCAGATCTAATTTTGACAGAAAACAAACTCCACCCTGCACCTTCCAGCAGAAAACAACCCAGCTCAGTTTAAAAGCATTGTATTGTTACCAAGTATGCCTCTGCCTCCCTTCAGCTGTGGACAGTATTTGGAACTCATTATTGTACTTTAATCAGTTTGGGGTTTTTTGTTTGTTCCCCAGTTCAAGCATGATAACACAAAGCCCAGCAACAACTTTTACAAAACATATAGGAAGATGCTGATTTCGGCCATCAAATTTCACACAAGTGACGTGCACATCTGCACCACGAGATAGCACTTATTAGAATCAGGAAAAAGTCTAGAGCACAAAGTTTTCTTGGCTTGAGGCAACAGAAGAAAACAGCTGCTCTTGCTCCCCAAACATATCCCTGCTACACAAGCACAATGCAGGAGTTACGTGCATGGGTGTAGTTGTCCAAAACTATTTTTCAGCATGAGTTAACAGTTGAGAGAATTGCACAAGGTCCTCTTAGGGATACAAATACGCAACCTTAACCCAGCACTCTGTTAGTTTTGAATCCCATGAACTCTGATCAGCAGTCACTTCTCTCAGCAACAGCTTAGGAGGCTGGGATGGTAAGAGAGCTTAATCAGATGACTGAGTGGGAAAGCAAACTGAGAAAGCAGACTGAATGAGAAACTCTCCTAGATTTATTGCAATTACAGTAGCATTCTCCAAACTCGCTGCGTTAAGGATTGTTTAAACATTCACTTTTGCTTTAAATCTATTTAGCAGCCTCACTATAGAATATTTAAACAACAGCAGTGCTACTGCCATACTTGGTAACTCGGCCGGACTTGATGTGATGCTGCCTTGCATGGTAGAGGATGAGTGTCCTTTGGTATTCTAAAGTTCACATGGCACAAATTCCACTTTCCAAGTCACAGTGGGCAACCCACACCCCAAAACATCACGCAGAAGAGTAGCAGCAGCTTTCCACTAAGTCCCAGAAGCTACCAGTACTGCAGAAGCCACTTCTCCTCCTGCAGGAGTCACTTCTAACAGGTAATGATGGTCATCACTGAGATGGAAATGGGGGTACGAGTCTTCAGAAGAATGATTCTTCTCCCCCCCCCCCCCCCCCCCCCCCCCCCCCCCTTAGTAATCTGGATAGCAATTGAAAATAAAAAAGGTCAAGGGCCAATAGGCATCTAAGGCATACATTAATCACATGGAATGGACATACTGCTGTCGTCCAAATGGCTAGCTGAAACTCCTCAAAAATACTTCTCGGGCAGTTTTCTTTCCCACAGCAGTACCATTAAAAAATAAAGCTTGCTTTCTTGTTCTAGAGAAATCTATCAGTTGTGACATGTTTTATAATTCTTGCATAAGAAAACAAAACAGGCTTGCAGGACAGCTGTGATTACCACTGTGCCAGAGCTACCTGAAGTTACATAGATCATTACCTTTAGACAGATCTTTCAAAGAAGCGATCCCAGATATTTAACAGACAAACGCCCAGCACCACACTACTCCCAATCCCCTAAAATCCTCTTAGCCAGAGCCTTCAGACTGAAGCCACGTGCCTTTAGGCATAGATTCTTGTATAAAGTTTCATCACTTCATGCTGCTGGTATCTGCAGATGCTGACCACAAGGATGCCATTAAATTAACACTTACGGAGCAATTTCTGAGGAATGCTTTAAAAATCCCTCTTCGAAGGGACCAGGTAGGCATTATGGCCTCTGTTCAAAATTAACACACTGAAGAGCACCTGCTAAGCCAGGCAGTAGCAGAAATAATCCAGAGCACATGTAGGAAAAAGAGAGCCATAGGCACAGTCTCTCCCACTACTCTTATGAAAAAGGTTGAAAGCTCTGGTTCACTTTTTTAATGGGTGAAGTTTCACTGGTCTGCAGTGGAAAAAACAAGTTGGAAAAAACACCATCTTTCTCCACTCCTTTCTAGTACAGCTCCCCCAACAACGGGGTAAAAACAAAGAGTGACCATCATGAAACTTTCTGTGCTTAATGTGACTAAGGCAATGGAGTGACTGCAGGAGCCATCTGCAACACATTTAGCACAGAAGGAGAGTATCGGAGGGACAGGGCAGAGAAGCATTTATATCCTAAGCCCTACGTGCAATTCCCTTCAGGTTGTCAACTCCTGCAGGAGACAGAATTTGTTGATATGTGGCAAAGCAACACTCTAGAGGGGAAGCACTAAGAAGGAGAAAGCTGAAAACAGCAGTTTTCTGAGAGAACTAGCAGACACTTAATAATCATCTAGAGGCTCTTGTTCATTCTACTCTGCACAATTAATAGAGAAAATTCACTGTAAAATTCAATTAGGCTTTGATACATTTAGAACAGAGCGAATCGAGTCTTCCCTTTACCACGTGCCTCAAAGCAAGGAGAGCTGTAGGAGCGGGAAAGCAATATTCACGCAGACTCAGTAGTCATTAAGAATAAATTTAGCACAACAATTAGAAAAAAACCCAACTATTTCGCTACCTCTGGAGTGTCGATGTCTTGAACTGGTGAGTCACCATCATCATCGCTGCCTTTCCTCTTTCTTCTATTTCTCACACTCTGAATTAAGTTTTTGTGGAAGTCACAAATATACAGATGTCTCGCCTAGAAGAGTAATAGGGCATCTTTCAGTGAAATCCCCGTAGGCTTCTCCCAGACTTAGGATATGTAAAAAGACAACCCTTCAGCAGCCACAGTCACATTAACTGAGTCGAGGAAGCTTTTCCACTGGATTATTCTAAATAAAGGATGTGCTGTGCTACAGGTCACTGCCACCGGCTTGGCCCAGAGGACACTGAAGTGCTGCAATCGACTGATTCAGCAGTTACAGGCTGCTGAGACACACGAGTACAACCCTCCCTCCAGCCACTCACCGCAATTCGGGGATTGGGAGACAAGCAAACAAAAAAAAAAAACAAACAAGCTTTCAGTTGTTCTTTGGAGAGCAAAAAGCCGGCTCCCATTTCACGCCGGCTCTCATTTCCCATCCACATCCTCCCCTCATTTTACTTCCACTACCTAGGCGAGGTCAAGCAACACAGCTTTTTTTTTTTTTTTTTTTTCTTCCTTTCTTTCTTTTTTAAAAGTTCCCTTTTGTACCGATCCGCACGCTTTGGGAGAACTCCTCGGCGCGTACCGACCCCGAATTTCACAGTTGCGCGCTCGCACGGCAATGGGAGCACGGAGCTGCCTTTAGGGACCGCGCCCGGGGGGCGAGTGACCCGTGGGCCGGGGTGAGGGGGGGTTTGGGGGGGGGGGGAGCCCTCGGGGCGCGGAGCAGTCACGCCGGCTGCGGCGCATTTTAAGTTGTTTTGCTCCCGTGCCGGGAAACCCACCCGCAGCACCGGGAAGCACCCCCTCCAAAACGCCCGGGCGTTTCACGGCGCGGAAAGGGACCCGCAGGCGGCCCGGGGAGGGCGCGCGTGTGCGTGTTTTGGGGGCGGGGGGGAGTGCCCGCTCCCTCTGCCGTGCCGTGCCGTGCCGAGCCTGATGGCTGCCGAGCGGAAGATACGGTGGCAAAAGGGGAGACGTGCAACACTGCAACACGAGGCGGAGCAGCCGAGCGCCGCTCTCGCCGGGAACAGACCCGAACTAGCGCGCCGGGAGCCATGCAGGCTCCGCTCCCAGCCGGGGAGGAGGAGGAGGAGGAGGAGGAGCAGCGCTTCCCGGCCACGCTGCTTCCCGCTCCAGATACACGGGGGGACACGCAGCCGATGCCCCCGGCTCTTGAGGGGTGGGAGGGGACCCCCAGAAGCAGGCGGCGGGGGGGGGGGGAGGCTTCCCCCCCTCACCCTTTTCCCGCAGAGGGAGAGCACTTTCAGGCAGCGCCAGCCGAACTCCACCTTGCTAAGGGGGAAAAAAAGGCGGGGAAGGAGAAAACAACACTTCCCTGCCGCCGAAAAAAAAAAAAAAAAAAAAAAACCAAAACAAAAAAAACCCAAACAAAAAAAAAACCAACACCCACAAAAACGCCCCTGAACTTTATTTAAAAAAGCCCCAAACCCAACTAAGCCGCGGGAGCAACCGGCTCCGCCGGCCGCTTTTGTCTGCCTGTCCCACCGGTGGTGGTGGGGCCGTCCCGGGTGTCCCCCCCCCCCCCCGTTACCCCGGACTTACGCTCTTGTCCAGCTCGATCTTCACCTTCTTCTGCGAGATGCTCTTCTGGATCCGCTTGCTGAAGCTGGCGTTGCCGGCGGCGCGGCCGCACCGCTCCCCCTCCTCCCGCAGGCAGCACAGCTGCCCGGCCCCGGGGCCGCCCGCACCCCCGGCGCCCGCCGAGCCCGCGGCGGCCGGACCCAGCCCCGGCGGCGGCGGCGGAGGCGGCGGCGGCACCTCCACGGCGGAGCCCGCGATGCCCACCACGGCGGCGGCGGCGGCGGCGGGGTCCGCCCCGCGCTGGGTCACCTCTTCGGGGGCGAAGCCGTTCATGCCCGGCGCCACCTCCGCTGCCGGCGGGAAGCCCGGGGGGACGCCAGCGGGATCCCGCCCCGCACCGAACTTCCCCGCCGAGACGCCGCGGCCCGGCGGGGCGCTCCCCTGCTCCCGCCTCCTCTACGGCGGCGGCGGCGGCACCGGGGCGCAAGGGCGGCCGGCCCGCGCGCCGCGGGAAAGACCCTCCCCCGCCGGCTGCCGCTGCCCGAGCCCCGCGGCTACCGGAGCGGCGGCGGCGACAGCGCCCCGCGGGTCGCCCCACTTCCTCCTTCCCCCTCTGTCATGTGGAGACTCTTCAGCTGTTTCCTATGTAACAACAGCAACCAGCCCGCCGCCCCGCCCCGCCCGGCCGCGCATGCCGGCTCCCCCCCCCCCCCCCGCCGCGGGGTGCCATGGGAAATGCAGTTCCTGCCCCCGCCGCCCCCTCGGCGCCCGGCGCGGCGGGGGAACTACCGCTCCCGAGGTGCAGCGCGGCGGCGGGAGCGCGGGCGGGCGGGCGGGCGGGCGGGCGGGCGGGGGGGGGGGGGGCCTAGCGTGCCGCTTTGCGGCGTTCGGCCCGGCGCTGCCGTCCCGCGGCGGCACCCGCTGCTCCTTCCCGCTGCGGGGCCCGGGCCGGGCCGCCCTGCCCTGCCTTCCCCCCGCCGCCAGCGGGAGCGGCGCAGCCCGCTTTTAAAAGGGCCCCGTTCCTCCCTCCCCCAACCCTCGCGTCTCTCCTCCCCGGCGGCGCGGCCGTTGGGATTTGATTCTTCCACCCCCCCCCTCCCCACAACAGGCTCAGCCGCCCGCGCTTCCCCGTCCCCACCCGCCGGCTGCGCCGCTCGCTTCGGCGTTTCCCTCCCCCCCCCCTTTGCTTTTCCTAGCTCGAATGTTTCAGCTGAAGCCGCGCTTCTCGTGCTGCTTGTTTAGGATTTTCTACGATTTCCCCCCCCACCCGCCTTCCGTCTCGGTCTTGCCCCTCCCTGCCCCCTCCGCTCCCCCGGCCGGCCGCGGCTGCAGAGCGGGGCGACGCTCCGTCCTTCTTTGTTAAAGCCACTTCTAAAACACGCGTGGTCGGGGGTCCCTCTTGCATTCCCTCAGTGCAGATCTTTGAAGACAAAGACGACTCGCAGTGTGAGTTTCCAACTTTAACAACAAAAAAGACTGAGAATGCAGAACTGTTTTCACTAGTGACGAACACCTTGCTGCGTACACGACTAGCTAAAATAGATACTGTGAAAATACTCGATTAAAGCAAGTATTTTTCACGTTGAGACTTTACAGAACTACCCAAGTGACGCACTGGCATGAAACTGTTTAACAATTCAGCTGTCGACGGCAGAGCGGCAGAAGCAGCAAGCTTTGACCTACTATTTTCCTTCAAGCTCATTCAGGGCGCAGGCAGTGAAGGGTGAGGTTTTGCTTTCCTTTTGAACTGCTGCAAATACTCCTTTAAATCTCAGAAACGGCACCCTAGCTGGCTGTCCACAAAGCGTAGTGATTTAATCACTGAAATATTTGACCGTATCGCCTGCCATGCGTTTCCAGCGTGCAGAAGCAGGAAAGGAGGAGCCGGGAGGCCAGTGAATGATTCGAGGAGACACAGATCCTGCGTAAACCAAAGTTCTGCGTGAGCTGGGGACGCGGTTATAGCGCAGTTTCGGTTTGCGCTGCAGATGGCTCCTTAATCTGGTTGCATAACCTGGTATTAGAGAATACGAGCAGGTCCCACTTCACGTTCCCCACGACCGCAACTGAATGAAGGTTACAGAGACTGAAGCCAAACGGAGCATAAAGTCACAGGCAGCAGTTACCGAGAAGGGGACGTTTCACGGATTAGAGAGGGGAATTGGATAAGGGCCGGAAAAAATACCAAATCCCGTTTTGTTATCAGCAGAGGTAAAGACTACGTGGAGTGTCTAGTTTCAATTCCACACTCTGCCGCTGTGCAATCTTAGGCAACAGATGTTTAACTCAGTTTTTGAGCTTCTTGTGATTTCACACTTTCAAGAAATGTAATGATGTTAAAATAAAATAAAATAAAAACAACAATCAAACAAACAGTAACAATGCTAAGGGACCTTAAAGAAGAACATTGGAAGCATGAGCTGGGAGAAGTGGGACAAGGGTGAGTTCCAGGAATTCTTCCGTGGAAATCTGTGTCATGAACAGCAATTTCTAGACTCGTAGGCTACAACTTCTGAGGTGCCTTTTATTTCTCCAGACGGATTTGACCTTACTATGAGCATAAAATATGTCAGGCTGGGTTTGGCTGCTGTGATTTGGTATGATGGAAAGATCACTTGTGCATTTTAAATATGTTTCTGATACTCTTTGTACAGTTTGTGAGCGGATAAAAGATTATGTTACCCAGCTGTGCTTGCCAATATCTTAATTTATAGGTGCAATTTCAAGTAAAGTAGTATCATAGTTTCACGATTAGATCACAATAAGACAGTAGTAGGGCTGAGAAAGATGGTTCTGCTTCTGCCATAAGTTGCTCGCTTTCACACCTGTGCCCTGTCCTTCTTTGTGCTTGTAAAAGCATTTCTGCGGCTGCACGGCAAACTGGATTGGGTTGCAACTAGCCCAGTAACAAGATCAGTGAAGTTTAGTCCTGATCTGCTCTGCCGCGCGGTTGCGTGATGTCCCAGCACACAGGCAGGCCCGTGTGACCGGTGCAGGGGGATGACCACCTCGTTTGGTATGAATGCCTGCTTACAGTAACAAAGAACTCATGTCACTTTTAATCTTGCATCATAGAAGGGATCAAAAAATACAAAGAACTGCAGCTAGATGGGCTTATCAGGCAGTACTAAGCTCACTACAGGATGGATTTGCAAATTTTTACAAGGCTTGGGCCCCGTGAAATAAAAAACCCACTCATCATAGAGGGATTTGGCTAGACTGTATGTCATCTAAAATGAGGATTATACAACATAAACTTTGGTAGTGGTTAGTAGTAGTATTCAGATATAACTGAAGCATATATATGGAAAGATTTTAAATAAACATCAAAACGTGCAGTATTTCAACAGTATACTGATTACAGTAAAACTTCAAGAATTAAATCAGTTCAAAGGCAACAGCAGCTCCAAACCAGCAACTCCGTACATGTGGCTTCACCAGAGTTCACGGGCCATGCACGCAAGCAGAGCTGAGTTGTACGGAAGGCAGCAGTAACCTCCACCCTTCCCGGGCGCCAAAAGCACAGCATTTGTAAGCGGCACGCAGAAGGAGCGGGAGCTACAGCATCTTGAAAAGCGTGCCTGGATTCGCAGCTCCCCGGCTCCGCTGCCAGCGGGACTCGGTGGCCCCTCCTGGCACCGAGGCGGGAGCCGAGCAGCTTGTGCCTCTCTGAGATGCCATATGTCCCAGCTCCCGTTAGCTTTTGACTGATGTGTTTTGTTATTCGAGAGAGAAGAATGGTAATTGGATGCGTCGCTTTGGATATATTGCAAGCACACTGCAAATGTATTATTAGAAATTAATCTTGGCAAGGAAACGTGGCTTGTAACTGCGTATGCATCTACACATGATAATGTTTCACTGGGGATGACTGTTCCCTTCCCCAACAGGTAGCACTTGCCTGAAGCCTAAGTGTACATTAGCGTGCTTTTGTGCAACACTTGAATTTATCCTGTTAGCGAATGAAATAAGGAAAACTATTGGTATACATTTTTCACAGCAAAGACACATTTTCTTTATTTTGGATTGTAACCGTTTCAACAAAAATTAGATTCATTTAAAACACTTTAAAAATTCCGCAAATTCCACCACACACCCTGGTGTTTTTGATAAAAGAAGCACCTACCAGATAAGCATTCGCAGGCCATGATAAAGAACAGTGACCAAATCTCTCCCTCCTTATCAGAAACAAGTCCTATTCTTATCGTCCTCTCTTTTTTTCTGATTTTCCCTTCCCACTCTAGTAACAACTAACTGTGCTACTGCCTGTTGCTCTGCCTCCAATTTACTGTCCAAATCTCTTATAGACCCAAAAGCACAGGAATACTGGGATTTACCTACAGACTGTATTTTTCTTTTTTTTTTTTTTTTTTACTTCTTTATATGTTTCACACTAGGATAGTCAAACTGTAATTTCAGGTAATTAATAAATATAATAAATAAAAACCTACTCTGTATTAGCACACATAGAGCTTATTGTATACAAGTAATATAGTAAGAGAAAAAAAATCATACCTTTAACCAAAACTGATATGGGTACAAAACTGGTAATTCCAGGTCTTTGAGTAATCCAGCTGAAGCCAGTGTTCCTTTTTTTAAGCATTCTGCCTTGTACAAACTAAAGGTGTATGAAACAATTTATGTAACACAGGCTTTTATTAAAAGATTTAAAGCAGTAAATGGGGTCCAACACTAAACATTATATTTGAAGAATAATCTAGGTGTCAGGGTATTAAAATTGGTAAGCCTGTGTGCTGTAAAAGCTTTAAAGATTTGTAATACATGCCCCTTGACAGTTTGTGCCAATTCCCTTTCGCAATAAGCCATTAGTTACAGGAGGCATCAAAAGGCCTTCTGTTAGAAGGCTTCCTTCTTACGTGCAAAAATACCGTAACATTGGTACAGAAACTTTAGATGTTCTTTGTTGAATGTACGTGACAAGTTGTTTGTTGAGGGACTTAAACAATGAAGTGTGAGACCAGGGAGATGCCTCAAACACAACAGGTACCCCCCAGGCTTCACCCCCCCTCCTCCTCACAAGCCCCCGTTCCACCCAGTTAAAAGCGCACATCCATCTGCTTGTTCCAGGGTCGCTGATCACTTGTCCATCCAGGTTGTTTTGATTAGCATTTTGTTTCACAGCATATGAGATCTCACAATCAGAAAGAGACCCAACGTAATCACCGCTAGTGCTTTTCTGGAATGTAATGCAACTGTCTGGAATGTATAGTGGAAAGTAAAGCGGAAAACCCCCAGAGGTTTTGTGTAATAATAGAATAAAAACTTAGCTATGAATAATAGACTGATGTAGTATATTGCCTAAGAGTTATTTTTTAATCCCCTGAAAAGAAATAAAAAGCTTGCTCAGCTTTTTTTTTTTTTTTTTTTTTTTCCTCTTGTCTATAAGAGAAACTCTCATATCTTCTTAGCAAATTTTGCTGGTCTCTAATGCACTCTATACCACAAAAAGCACCCTACACTCTGCTACAGCCTTTCATTTTGTGAACCACTGTTTTCTGCTTACAGAAATTGATTTGACGCTGTCTTTAATCATTTGCTTTGTGCTTTGAATCATGCGCATTATACCATCTTCACAGGTTTGTCTGGGGTCCTAGAAACTACCATGCTCCTTTATGCCATCACATCCTCCTCTGATATGGATTTGTTTTACAGAAAGGAAAATGGGAAACTTCTGTAGCCCTGAAGTCTCTTCCAGTGCCCTTGTCTTTGCAGCGCAGTTACAAGCACCTCTAGGTCTGACTTAGCTCTTGTTGAAGTTAACAGCAGGTTTTAAGTGCCCCTTGGGGACAGGTGAACACTTCTTCCACCTGAGTCCATCATTTAGGTCTTTAGAAGGTATCTGGATTCCGTCAGTAAAAACAAGAGAGAGTCCAATACAGATACAGGTATTTTTATAAAAATAAAATGAGTAAAATTACATGTGGGTTTGGGGTTTAAATATTTTCCTGACATCCCGCAGAGTTCATTCTGGGTAAAAGATACAGGCTTATACTCCAACAAACTCCAGTATGATGATAGTTTGGAACTGCAGTTGGTTTTTGCTGGTTACTTGACAGTAAACCCTTAACTGAGAAAAATTATGGGAAAAGGATCAGATAAAATGTTTTGCAATTTATTTTTTTTCCCCACAAAAAATGGCCAGTGGGCAGAATGTACCAGGTTTCCTATGTTTGGATAGTACCTACTGATACATACATTCAATATAGAGCAGCTGATCAAAAGCATTGCTTCTTCATTAGATATTACCATTCATCTTTAATGCTCCTCAAGCCTCAACTCACTTAGCTGAAAGACATTACTCTCAGCTTTCATACTGATAAAGCTGCCAGGCTTTACAGTCACAATGGTAAGTTTGGAGTCCAGTCAAGGACAGATCCTGAAGCATAGAACACAAAGAACCCCCCCCCCCCACCTCCAGTTCCAGCATTCTGGTTTTTAAAGATACTGGTTTAGAAGGTTTTTTAATTTCAAATGTTTGGTTGTTAATATTTATTAACATTATAAACACCACAGATGAGACCTGATTCTGCTATTGCAACTATCCTAAAAGATCCTTACCCCTCTCCTGAAGTGACTGCTGGAGCAGGATTTTACACTGTTTTACATGATTTTGTAAATGACTTGAGAATTAGGAAAAAAATAATACAGACCTTTCACCTCTTAAACAACTTTAACTTCTTTAATTATCTGTGTTTCTAGTTATATCGTGAAAGTCTGTTCCAAAATTAATTATATCTTTGCAAAGTAAATTTTTAACTACTAGAAAAGCAGAATGGCGGTTTAATGCTTTTAATATTTGTACCTGTTACAATAATTTAACAACACAGAAATGCTAGTTATTAGTATAAAATGTAGTAACATAAAAATTGCACATGATCAAGCCTATGAATTGGAATATAGTCATCAAGATGGTTTCTTTCTTAAAGGTTTAAATTGAAGTTGAGATTTTACAGGTTTTAAGGATTCTCTTTTTTTCAACTCTTAAAAACTGGAAAAGATATGATTTGGACTGCACATTACTTTCCTGGTGGCTTTTAATAAGCTGGCCTTTTTTTGACACAGAACAAGTTCACTTGATATTTCCTTGTTCATTTCTTCCAATGCATGACTGTGCCGCTCTCCTTATTTCTTTTCATTTGTTGTAGGCGTTTATCCCTGCCAGACCTTAGGAAGAACTTCTACTTAACTTCACACATGGTAACACTAAATGACGAGGGTTAATCATAGGGCCAAGGGTTTATTATTAAACTTCCTTAAGACTTTTTTTTTTTTTTTTCCCCCACAGGAGTCGGGGCTGTGGAGTAGAAGCATTAGCTTTTGTCTGGTATTATAGACAGACACATTTTCTAGTAGCAGAAGATCTCTGAAAAAAAAAACTTCCTTGTCACTGTAAAACACTTAACTGTATAAAGCAGGGTATGCAATGGGATCCTCTGGAGAAACTATACTTTTATATCATCAGTTGCTAGAAAATCACACAGGATCCATGACTAAAAGTGAGACTGATGATTGAATCGACAATTTCAAAATTTCCTGAGCATTTCCCTTCTAGTCTCATCAGATTGCCTGTGTATCCTATGACAATTCCTGACATATACGACAGCCCTGTTTGCCAGAAATAATAGGAGAAATCATTATTCTATTATGACAACATCTACATTAGCAACAGCACAGGATATACTCCACGCCATCAAAACTCAAGACCCATTTAAGTTTAATGAGTCCTGTTGAAATCCACTTGAGTTATTCCCCTACCTGGACCCAAGGCCAACGTGTTGATGAGTATCACAGTGCTTATGCAGAACCAGGCTGTTAACCAGCCTAACCTGCTTCTCTCTTCTGGCTGTGGGAGACAGGAGCACAGGATTCCTCCTTCCTCTCGGGGCCCGTGGCACATGGCCTTGTCAACTCACCCTTTTCTTTCTCTTTCCTAAAAAATGAGAGCACTGCAATTACAAAGGAAACAGCTTCTACTGCCAGGTTCAGCTTGTTTTTTAAATTTCTAGCCCTCACAACTGCAGAAGAAAACAGTCCCTCAGAACAGACGTGGTGCAGACAAAATGATCTGGTTTGTTCTGTAGAAGTTTCAAAATTTGTAAGGCACCATGGGTCGACACGTACTTCATTTTGGCAGCAGTGAGCCCCCGCGGGCTAGCCTCGCACTGGCCCTTGGATCATTAGGGAGATGGACAGTGGTTACAGCCTCTCCGGATCTGCTCGCTGGATGTCACACCTCCGGGGCCAGACACAGCCCAAGCCTTTCTCTTACTGCTTAGAAGGAGAGAAAAAAAACATCCTAGATGTCCTCCAAGTCCCAAATGGCACAACATTTTTATTAGTAATTACATTTCATTTCTTAAGAGTAAATTGTATATATATTTCAGGTAAAGTACCAACGTTTACCTTGGCTGGAAGAGTTGGAAGGGTGGGGACAGAAGGATAGAAACTTTTTTACTCATTTAAATTGATTTCATACTGTAAATTACAGCTATCCATATTTCAAAGCCTCCCTAAACTGCATGTGCAACTATCTAATGGATGAACAAAGGCAAATTGCTGCTTTCTTCTCATACCTGTAAAAAGGGATTAACAGTATAGGAAAATATAAAGGAGGTCTCTTAAGATCTCCAGGGAACAAGTGTTACATGAGTATTACTTTGAATGTAAATAAGAACGCAAATGAAAGTGAAGACTGGGAATAGAAAAGATAAAAAAAAAAAAAAAAAAGCATGTTAACCCAATGTAAGTGGAAAAAAGTTCTTATCAAATTAAGACTGAAAAAGTACAGTTAATTATTGTGACCACAAACAGCTGGTGTTCCTAATATTATCTGCATTAGTGCCACCAGAGATTTGTTGTATTTATTTCCCATCATATGACCACTGCAGTTCAGCCTCTGCTCTGCAGCTGTCCTGGGCAGTGCCTAATGTAGGCTGCCTTTGTTTTAGGTATTTGGTGCACAGCACAAAGTCAAAACAAGTTCCTGAGCTTTCAGACTAAACCAGCCCGGTGTAACACAGCTGCTGTTTGCCTATGAGCTGCTTAACTGGTTATGCAGGCTTTACAATAGGACATACAATAAACCTGTAATGTTTAAAGAGTAAATATATTTCATTTTTATAAATTACATATTATTTGCATGTTATAAAACAACAGAAAAAATGGGAAAAGTTCTAATACATCATCTTAAATGCAATTATTTAAGATATTGACAGAAGTACCAGTTTTGCGAACTTTTGGAGAGCTGCAGTTACATGTTTTTATCAAAGTACAAAGAAAGTAACTGCTGATAACTAGAACACTACAGTAAAAAAAAAAAAAAGCAAACCTACAGTTTTGAATTTAGGTAAGTAGTAGCCTAGGTAGTTCTGGTTTTTGCTTTTCATCCTAAAGTTCCTCCCATATATCCAGTATGAGACACTCACATGAAACAGGCCAAAACCCATAGTTGCTATCTGCAGACTTTGTAACTCACATTAAAAAGGGGTTTTTAAAGCAGTGACCCATTTAAATGCTTTTTGTGTCTTGGATTTTAATCTTTTTCTATAACAAAAAATTGCTGATTAAAGCTAAATTTGCTCTTTTTTTTCCCCCAGCATCTTACATTACTATTAGTGAAGTTAGGTGAAATTAAAATCGAAAGCAGCTGTAACTCTCCTTCATTATTCATCTGGTAAACGCTGACTTCTCAGGTCGATAAGAGAGACCCCTTCTGCAGTAATCAGTCAAGAACGATCACTTGCCAAAGCAGAATTTTATTGCTATTAAGGCATATTCCATACAGGAATTTGGGTACTAGCAGAGTCTCTGGGGAGAGACAGTAGAGTTTCTTCATCCAACTGGCTGAATTAAAACTGACAGTGTCACCATATAATACACTTACATCAGAATGAAAGTTTGGCCAGAGTTAAGGTCATGCAACTGTAGTGTGCAATTTCCTCAGCTGAACAGTATCTGTTGCAATAGATCCACTGACGGAAACGTTAATTCAAATAAAAGATCTTTGTTACTTTCTTCCCTTGCTTTGTCCACCCTGACACCAGTATCCAAAAAAGCTGCAGAAGCTGCCCACAGAAGCCAAGAGATACAGTATGATGTAAAGTACTATCACTCCAATCACACATTTTTGTTGTCTGTGACATACTTTTATTTTAAATCCATTTCTCAGCTCTGCAACGTGGTCTCACCCACCTGGTTTTTTCCTTCTATCCAGTGCTTCTAGTCACTACATTGCTCATCTTTCCTCACGTGCAAGTGACTGAAGATGAAGTTAACAATTGCACCCAAAATTGTAACTGTGGAGCAGATTAGAAACTCAAAAGGGCTTGAAGCCAGGGAGCTATAAAACTTAACAGTCATTTCATGAGCTGAATTATTCAAGCAGAAGTAAGCTTAAAGTCCTGGAGTTTATGCTGCTTCCCCACAACTGTCATCCACATGTGGTTAATAAATTAACCACGTGGACCGACCAAAGTCAATACTGCATAGATCACTGCTTTAGAAGAGTAACAGTGACTCAATTTCTCAAGACAGCATTTGTGGTTTTGTCTGAAAAGGAACAGCGTGGTGTAATGAAGAAACCGTGACAGCTTATTGTGGAACCGGGCACACAGAGAAGCGCTTTTCCAGGCGCGAGGGTGCTGGGAGGAGGGCAAGGCTTTGGGACCAACAAGTCTCTAACATCAGCATTCTTGCGTGGAGCTTTCCGCGTTGGTGCTGCAGTGGAAAGCTTCCAGTATCATGTTCGAGCATGGAAAATTTTCAATACTGCCTTCCTTGTTGGAGGACAGACAGACAGATGTTAAAGAGCACAACTGTTTAGTTTCTTACGCTGCCCTATGTTGCATGACATTACCCTCTATGTGTGTACTAAATTGTAGAAAAGCTTTCTTTTTCAGAGAGGAAAAATCTAGAAAAAGAACAAAGAACCTAATTTATCTCTCAAAACATTTGATTAAATAATTTGAAAGACAGTCTCACCTTTTCCATGCCAGTAGTTACACATTCTCACCCTACCTGCTTTTCCACAACCATTTTCTTCACATTCTTAGAGCACATATAAAAACAGATGCAACAGAGGAAGCCTCACTGCAATTATATCCTATAATTTCCAAAGACTGTTCCAAAGTTATTTTTTCTATAAACTTGCTATATTAATGGTAAAAGGAAGAGTAAAAATATGTTAATAAATAAAGCTTTTTTTTTTTGCTTTTTTTTTTTTTTTGTTCAAAATCTGTCAGAGAATGGATTTGGAAGAGTAGAACAAGAAAAATTCATCTCTCTCCTTTCACCTGTTAATTTCTGATGCCTGTAGCCACCCTGATAACTTTTCAGTAACAAACCCTCAGACATTATAACTTGCTATTTTAGAAGCACTGGCATTGAGAAACCTTTCCTGAAAACTAGTGGACCACTTCATTGTTCTTTCAACTGCATCGGTGGGGATTCAGAAGCTAACCTACATTTTTATATGGCTGCAAACAGCGTAGGAGATACCTGTGAATTTGCTCGAATGGTGTGATATGGAGATCTCTAGGCAAGTCTGGTAGACAAAGAATGGCTTTACACCAGAGATGCTAATGGCTGCACTGTGAGAGTCATTCATTACACACTAGCATTGTAAGATTCTACAAAACTACCTTATTAACTAGAAAACACTCTGCAAGAAACTGTCATATACAGGTGGTCTACCACAAAGTGAATGAGTAACCCATCTGGCAGCTTAATTCACCAAACCAAATAGAGCTTTCCAAGTAACATATGAAGCAAAGGCATTTGTAAAGCTACATAACAAATTAAAACAACTCCTTGCAAAGTGGCTAGGCCTTCACAGAATTCAGTCCAAAAGAACTGAGAACGTTTATTTGCTACGAACAAGTAGTGGAACAGTTTGCAATAATAAAGAGCCAGAACTGGAACATGGACTATCCCCCATGTAAATGTTTATTTTAGGAGATAAGTGTAAGCTTTGTTTGTAGGTTAAACACTATCAAAAGGAATACCCTCGGAAGTTATCTGGTATAAGAATTTGGATAACTGGCTTCTGACAGGCTTTGACATCTGCGAAGGGAATATGTTATCTCCACATTGCTCTGTCAATTTACCTTCCAATTAGCGCCTCTCCAAAGATGATTTTGACTAAATTTTTCAAGTTTACATTATGTCTGTTGGGGCTGCAGGTTGAGGGAACACATAAAGCCTAATATGAAATAGGGATGGAGGAGGCATTTACTACCGTATCAGTGAACTGTTCAGTGTGAACACGTCTTTGTTGGAAGGGAAAAAACAAACGAGCTTGAAGGACTGGACCTGGCAAGTGCTTCTTATTCAGTGCTCCTTACACTGAGCAGATCTGGAACAGGAGACAAAACATTAACCAATCTCATACAACTAGTCAACACCCTTAGATACCTTAGGGAGTGTTATCTTTTAAAAGCTTTTTTTTCCATCACTGAGCTAGATTAACATGACTATAAAACTGCTGAAGGCATGGCATGGCCAGTAAGGCAAAGGTGCAACCTGCTTTTCGCCAGTGCTATAAACTACACCCGACAAAGCAAGAGTGTTAGGAACTGATTACATTAGTAGGAATATTTACCTAAACTGATGTTAACTAGAAAACCGGATGAAAATAACCAGACAGAACAAAACCGACATCAGCAAAAACGCGTATCACATAGACTAGGGTCAACTCACAATCAAAAAAGGCTAAATGACTGTACGGGAACTTCGGTTTTATCCCCAAACCGAGCGGGCCGGACTCACGGCCGGCTGTTCACCGGAACGCAGGGACCCAAACCACAGGCGTTGCACCTCCGGCGCGGTTTCGCTGCCGGGTTTTCCTCCCGCGGGGGTAACCCCACGCGGGGCGGGGCGGGCCGGCTCGGGGAGGGGGGGGGGGGGGCAGAGCCGCTGCGCAGCCCGGCCCCGCGGCGGAGCGGAGCGGCGCAACCGCGGTTACAGCCCGGTTTCACAGCGGGCGGCGGCTGCTCGTGGGCTTCGGGGCGCCGTGGGGCCGCCGCCCCCACCCCGAGTGGGAAGGGAAGGTGAGGGAGGGATGGTGGCGCTCACCGCCGCGGCCCGCCTCCGGCCGCCCCCTCCGCGCAGGAAGAAGGTAAGGCCGAGGGGGGGGCCCCACGCTCTCCAGCGGCTAGGCCGCGACCGGGGCCGCGGCGGAGGGCTCGCCCCACCCGGCCACGGCCACCGCCACCCGTCCCTTCCACGCAGCTCCTCTTATTCCGCCCCCGCCGCTGCCCTCCTCGCTCCCTTTGTATTTTTAAACCACGCTACAGCATCCCGCTCCGCCCAATCAAAACGCGCACAGCCCCCCGCGGCCAATGGCGGGGGCCCCCGCGGTTTTTTAAACCGTCCCTTTCCCCCAATCGCCGCCCAGCGCTTTATAGTCCCGCCCCTTCCACTACCCTCACCCCAACCGGTTCCAGCGAGTATGAGCGCTAACGACTCCCTTTCGCGCTCGACCTAGCCGAGGAGCTGCTCGGCCGCTGACGTCGCAGCGGGCAACCAGCGAATCCCCGGCGGCCCCGGCCCCGGGGGGCGGGGCCGCAGGCGGTTTGAACCGGCGCGGCAGCCAATCCGCGGCGGCGGTGGGCGGGGCCCTCCTGGTGCCGCGGGTCAAGTTGCTGTGGCGGGTAGGGCTGCGGAAAACAAGAGGCTGTAAGTGCGCCGCCGGGAAACCATTCGGCAGCAGCAGCCGCGGAGGGAGCCGCGCCGCCGCCGCCGCCAGCCAGGCAAGCCCGCCCCGCCCCGCCCCGCCCCAGCCGCCGAGAGCCGCGGGGGAAGGGGAGCGGGGAGGCGGGGGCGCCGCCGCCGGGTGCGGAGGGAGCGCGGGGTTCCCGGGCGGGCGGCGCGCCCGGGGGCTGAGGGGGAGGAATTCCCGGCGGGTGGGCGAGCGCGGAAGGGAAGGGGGGAAGCTGGGGCGCGGGGCTCCGGCGCGCTGCGGGCCGCGGGCGGAGGCGCCGGGCGGGCGGGGAGAGGGGCCGGCGGCCGCCGAGGGTGTGTCGGGGCGGGAAGGCGGCGGCGGCGGCGGCGGGCGAGGGGCGGGAGCGGCCGGAGGGGCGGCCCCGCCCGGCCGTGGCTCCGCGCCCAAGCACCGCCCTCACCCCGCCCAACACCCCCCCCCCCCCCCGCAGGGACCCGCCGCCGACCTCGCCATGGGCAAAGGCGACCCCAACAAGCCCCGGGGCAAGATGTCCTCGTACGCGTACTTCGTGCAGACCTGCCGCGAGGAGCACAAGAAGAAACACCCGGACTCGTCCGTCAACTTCGCCGAGTTCTCGCGGAAGTGCTCGGAGCGGTGGAAGGTGAGCGGGGCCGGGCCGGGCCGTGCGGGGCCAACCCCCGCCCCGGCGGCTGGGAAGGGAGCCCCGGGAGCCGCTGCTGCTCGGCCCTTAGTGGGTCACCAGGCGCTTTATCTGATCCCGACTGACTCTTCTCCTTTCCCCTCCGCGTGGCCGCAGACAATGTCTAGCAAGGAGAAAGGGAAGTTTGAAGAAATGGCGAAAGGAGACAAAGCACGTTATGACAGGGAGATGAAAAACTACATTCCTCCCAAAGGCGAGAAGAAGGGAAAGAAAAAGGACCCCAATGCTCCTAAAAGGCCACCGTGAGTGTTTCTATGACTGGGGGGGAAAAAAAAAAAAAAAAAGTATTATTTCTCACAGCCTGACCCTTAACTTTAATCACTGTCTCTCATTTTAGATCTGCGTTCTTCCTTTTCTGTTCTGAACACCGTCCAAAAATCAAAAACGATCATCCTGGCTTGTCTATTGGAGATACAGCAAAGAAATTAGGTGAAATGTGGTCCGAACAGTCGGCCAAAGATAAACAACCATATGAACAGAAGGCTGCAAAACTAAAGGAGAAATATGAAAAGGTACGGTGAAAGTAATAAAATAATGGATAAAGCTGTAGAGGTCACTGTAAATGTATGACTTTTGGTTTTGCCCCTAAAGCTTCTGTGGTTCCTAATTCTCAATGTGTATGCCTGCCTCCGCCAGGCTTCAGAATGCGTGGAAGGGCGTGGTGTGGGAGAGGTATCTGGAACCCTCACAGTGGACCTGGATGTGATTTTTTTACATGTCTAGAGGTTTTACCAAGAAGCTGCTTCCAGAAAACAGGTCACCTGCCTGATATCATACGCAGTCCTACTCCAAAGCACTGTGGTCATAAAATTCTGAAAACTGTCTGGATCATGTGTTCTGTTGACAAAAGGTGTAAGCATGAAACCACACTTTTCTGCACATGCACTCTGTATTTGATCTGCAGAGCACAGGAGTATTAAATTATTGAAGCAGTACAAATTTGCCTTCAGAGTTACATTACCAGCAACTAAACAGCATTTTTCTTGCAGGATATTGCAGCATATCGTGCCAAGAGCAAGAGTGATGCAGGAAAAAAGGGCCCAGGTAGGCCTGCAGGATCTAAGAAGAAAGCAGAACCAGAAGAGGAGGAGGAGGAGGAGGAAGATGATGAAGAGGAAGAGGAAGATGAGGATGAGGAATAAATGAACGTCCTGCTGTAAAGATTTATGCTCAAAATCCAATATTTTGCTAAGAATGTGAACTCAAGTGCAGCTCATTGTTAGCTTCAGTATAAAAATCTGTACAGAATTGTGTATAGGTGATGTGGTTCTTTGTAGGGAGACCTCTATTTTTAATGTAAGTAGTAGCCAAGGGCTGCTACAGTTCGGTTAAAAAAAGAAGAAAAAGTTGTGGAATGTTTCTGCATATTTAAAGGTTTTGTTGAAATTCAGTGACTGATAGCCATGTGTTTCTTTATAGCTAAGTAAAACAAAGGAGGTAGCTTAATAGCTGATCTTATATTTTGTAGTATATTGCATTGTATTACTTTTTTAACAATTTTGTAATAAAATGTTGTACATGATCATTGTTGTTACCCTTGATGTTTCTGAGAGGCTGGGTACTCCCAGCAGACCTGTGCAGGACAGCGCTTTGCACTGTTCTTGGGCTATCGCTGTTGCCACACAGCTGGCAAGTCTCTTGAAGTGTTGACTCCTGGAGTTTATACAGGAGTTTAAACTTTTTTTAACCACCATTCTCTGTCCTGCACGTGCTACCATTAGTTGCAATTGATGCCTTCCTTATGCTAGCATTTGCTTATATCACCTTGGGAGTCGGAAGAAAAAAAAAAAAAAAATCTCATTTTTAAGTACTGAAGTTGCTGATAATTTTTCCTGGATTGTTTTCTTTACCCAAACTACTGAAGCAGAGGTCTTAAAAGTTTTGTCTTGGTGTATTAGCTGATAACGAGCGATTCTTAGGAACTTTCTTTCCCGGAGCTCAGGGTCACTGGCCTTTTCTGCTGTCCATATCAGGACAGGAAAGTTGGCTAAAAGGCAGATGTGGCTAGAGGTATGTCTTCCCAGATGTTCCCTACTCCTTCCCTCTCCTCCTGGCCTGAGTATTACTGGTTTCTCATAAAATACACAGCTTGCTGAGCAGCATGAAAAATGTTGGAATGTTATCTCCGCACATGCCAGTAGATCCCTGCAGGAGGGAGAAGAGGCATTTGTAAAGAGCATGTGCTCCTGACATTCCTGTTCGTGGTGGTAACAGTATCAACAGATAGCTACACTATTTCTTGGTTTTCACTTTTTTTTTTTTTTTTTTTTTTTTTACTCAGCATATTTTGAAGTCAAAATCTAGAGATTTTAACAATATTTGCACGTGGGAAATTGGAGATACCACAGATAAATAAATACCTTAAGTTTAATTTGTTGTGATAAATACTAGGCAGTAGCTTTTACTAGCCTTTAAAAACCCAGCTCTGATAAAAAAATTAAAATATGAAGTACTATAAAGGGTAGGCTTCCAACTTCTTTTTTCTCTAAACTTTTCCCCTATTGTCCATCAACTTCTGAAATAAATTTGCATACAGCCTGTACACATGTAAGGCAAAAAAGTGATTTCGGTACTCTAACCATGGTAAATGTCACTGTGGTCGGCTGACAATAATGTAGCACCTTCTGAAACAAGAGTCTTGACAAAAACACTTTGTGTATTCCTGAAAGTATGGAAATAAGGTAACTAAAGGCAATTCAAACATTTTAATACTAAAGTACATACTAATCATTGAAGGCCTTAGAAACCCAGAGTTGTTTTCCCCACCCTGCCCCTGAGATGCTTAAAGTAGTATCAGAAGGATTAGCTCCTGGTTTACAGGTTGGACCTGCCAGAGATAGCACAGGCGGGATCAATGGCTCCATTCTGCAAGCTCAGATTTTGCAAAGCCGCAGGCGTAAATTGGAGGTGAGAGGCAGCTGTTCTGTGTGCCCTATAGCCAGTGCTCAAGAACATTCTCTCCTGTAGAGTCTGCAATCCCGGAGTACTTTTATCCTTAACTCAAAAATTCTTCCAGCTAGAGGCAATTCCCTGTCATAGCGTGTAGCTGAGACTATGCTGTTCTCACTCAGCCTCAGCATATTCTGCTCAGATTTCCCTATAGAAACACACCACCACTTCCCCTCAATTCTCAGACTCCCTTCCTGAACAGAACAGTGATGCAGTTTCTTTTGCAGGGGAGCAGTAGCATCGGTGTAAATTGACTAATTTAATTATTTGGAATGGTTTTTTACTCCTGTTCAAGTGCTTTTAAATGGAAATGAAATATAACCCTTCAGGTGTCCTAGAAAGCTGCACAGGTTACAGAATTTGAAATATTGGGTCAGAATTAAAAGCATATCTTGAGGTAATTCAGAATAAAAGAATTATTCTGAATAGTTTTGTTTTTTTTTTTTTTTTTTCCTTGGGTAAAATGGCATTTGGGTTCTATTTCATTTAGCATTAATTGGCTAATTTAGCTTCAGCACAACTTCTGCACAAATCAGTGCAGAACTGCCTAATGTTGCCAGTCTGTTGTCCCACGTCCCAACGATGCTCCATGAAAAGCCACCGGCGCGTTACTTTCGTTTATGATCTCACTTACAAATCTATCCTGACTGCTGGAGAGATCTTTATTGCAAAAACAGTCTATTGCATGGCTCTACTAGCCTGACCCACATCATCACAGATGATTTTGTGCGCGCGCCGTGGCAGCATGAGCCGCAGCAAGCCACGGCAAAGCTCCGCATCAGGTTCATCTATCAACTGAGAATGATGTCATGACTAAAGATAAGCAGTAATTTTTTTAAAATACTGTTTTGTCCTTTCGATAAGAAGGATGTTGAATCTAGATTCAAAGGCAAGTGGAAACGGGCGTGTGGAAATTACTACTTTCAAATTAAGCTTTAAAAAGTATAGTGTGGTGTGTCAGGTCGGGGGTTCAGGTAACGCCCACCTGTGAGCACTGAAAGAACTAGCGCTGGAAAGGACGAGTAAGTGATCGAAGTGTAACAGGAATGTTCAGAAAAGATAAGGCCATAGAAGAAAAAGCTAAATTAATTTTTCACATCTGTGTTTAATATGGGCAATATTATGAAATGACTCACTGGAAACTTTTCACTGGAGGTGAACTGGGAGGTCTGTCTCAAATCAAAATTAAAAGGGATGCCCAAAATGGT